GAGTTTATTCAGTGTGTTGTCATATCTTAACTTTTTCATTGTCACATCCTGTCATTGTCAAATCAGTTCTCAACTTTGCAGTGTAATGTCCTATTTACTTTAATCTATCTCATGGCTTTAAAAAATCAATGTAGTGTGTTGTTATATCCCAACTTTTTCATTGTCATTTTGCATAATTGTCAAACAATCCAAACTATGCAGATTGATGTCCTTTTACTGCAATTTTTAATTGCCAAACCGAGCATATATATATTACAATTCATAATTGTGTAAATGCACCCCCACCAAACAAAATGTATAGGAGCACATCACATACAAGTTCTTCTTCACGCAATGACCAAAATAGTTCATCTTCGGGTAAAAAACGTGAACGCTCAACGGACAGCTCAACATTGCTAAACAAATTTCCTTCTATCGCATCATATATTGATTCTAGTGGTGTAACGTGGTATAGACGAAAACGTACATTCTGCAATGAGCTCATCGATCCTTATCACCCATTCAGACAAGCTGGACATGTAATTATTAGGCCTGCAACTGATTATCCACCTCCAGGTGCTGATATCGAACCCACACCAAGCTGGCGACAGTTATATGACAAATATTGTGACCTTGGAGTATTTTGTCGTTGACATGAAATTGTGGTACAAAGACACGTTTGACTGATATTTACAATTTACAGAATTCAAACAATCATGACAACGTCATATTAAGGCTTGAACGTGAAAATGATCAAATGCAGCGTCTTCTTCTTGATCGTTTCCATGTACTCGATTATGCTAAAATAGAACATTTTGATCTTAAATATGTCGAAATTAAAATTTTAGAAGATCCTTTACCTGTTTCTGATCCTGAGTTTTATGATTTCTCTGATTTGGATGATGATGCGCCTAACACTTTTATCCCATCATGTTTATGTGTACTCGATAATCCTGTATGTTGTTTTGAATATCAACCACGTTATTGACTTCCTTTTTATACATGTGTACGTTCTGAATAGCTTATATTTTTTCACAACTTTATAAACATTAATGTCGACATGATCCATATTACAAATAAAATTATATTTTTATTTTATGTATGCGTTTATAATTATATAATAAAATTAAAATTAATTATATGTATACGATTTCAATTTTTAAAGTTTGATATGCTAAAAAATATAAGTACTTTTAAATTATCAAAATTTATTTATTGAATGCAATTATATTTTTAAATAAATAATAAAAACTCATCATCTCAAAAAGAGAGGGATTAAAACATTTTTAGGTATCATTGTTAGGGAGAAAAAAGTTAGTAGGACAAACGAAATTTATGTATTTTTAAATTATTAAAATTTATTTATTGAATGTAATTAAATTTTTAAATAAATAAAAAAAAACTCATCCTCTCAAAGACATAGAGAGCAAAACAGTTTTAGGTATCATTGTTAAGAAGAAAAACATCAGTAGGACAAAAGAAATTTATTTATTTTTAAATTATCAAAATTTATTTATTAATTAAATTTTTTACTAAATAAACATTTAACAGTTTACTCAGAAAAAAAGACAAAAAACCTATCACTAAAAACATCATTTAGATTGACGTTTTTAGAAAGCATCAGTTAAACTGACATTTCTTCTAAACACATCAGTCCAACTGACGTTTTTAAGGAATTAACTACCCATGGTTTTAGTTTAAAGACGTTAGTTGGTCTGACATTTTTAGGCTAAAAAGGTCAAATCAACTTACGTCTTTAAGCCTAAAAATATCAGATCAACTGACGTGTTTTAAAATACTTAGATTTGGAAATTATTTTTAAACCACCCTTATTTGGAATTTTTTTTTCAAAATACCTTAGGATGGTCAAAAGCTCGAAGAAGAAGTTGCAGAGTAAGAATTTGCAGTAGAGAAGATGAATACCCACAATGTGTACTGTCCTAATTGTAAATCAAGAATCACAAAGGTTATTCTTCGCAGAAGAACATAAGTTCACGCGATTCCATCTCCAACCAATACTCCAAATCATGGGCCTATGGATCTACTTGGATCCGGGGTGGCTCAACCACGTTTGGGACCTAATGCGGCCAATGAGATTTTTTTATTTTTTTAATAATAATATAATTTTTTAATTTAAAATATAATATTTTTACTTTTTGATGAGATTCGAAATTGTTAATTATTTTTTTATTCAAATTTTGTTAATAATTTTCTTTGATTAAAAATATGACTTTTGATCATAAATAATTATAGGAATAAAATTAATTTCTTTATTAATATTTTAATGTTCTTTTTATTTGTTTTATATGTTCTTCATCGAAATTGTGGTATTAAATGATTGACTTTATTATAAATAAATTCATTGTTATCTTTCTTTTGGATTATTTTACCATATTTGAATTTTACTTATTTATCTATGCAATTTTCACCTAAGTTTTTGTTATATTTTATTTATTATGAATAAGAACTTTATCAAATATTTTTTAATGAGAATAAATGGTTTAATTGGTGTTTTGCGTCCAAATGAGAAAAATACAAGTTTAAGTGAAATAGAGAATGTATTTGGTTTTATTTATTTTTTTTTTTTTTGGAGAAAGTGATGGATTTTGTCAACACTTTTTTTTTAATATTTTTTTATCTTTTAATAAATGTGATTGTATGACGTGGTCTGAACTTTTGGGCCCAAATTTTAACTTTTTTGTTGGTTTAGTCTTTCAAAAATTATTTTGTTAGGATATATTGTAGTAAATTATATTTTTAACTTATATTTTTTTATTTTTAAATTATAGGACCGCCCCGACTTGGATGCTCATCATGCTTAAGCATTCATCCCTAGAGGTGCGATTTTGAACCTAGCTCTATTTACAACTAGCCTTTTTCTGTCACTTCAAATCAAAAAGGAAAATTTTGTGGTAGCAAAAGGGGAATTGGACTAAGTATTAAAACTCAAACCACCCACTGATTTGAATTATAGAGGTACTATTTGTAGTCTCATGTATTCAATCCTATTTTTCTTTTGTCACATTTCTAAAGGTACTTTTATGATATAGTTGGCAGACATGATAATCCAAATAGGAAGTAGAGAAACAGAAGATTTAACAAAACAAAAGAAGAATCAATGTCTTTGCCCCAGTGGATTTTAGAATCTACCAATGCATTATTCTCAAACAACATTAATTTCCAATGATCATTATGCGTTCACGAAACAGAAAGGAAAGCCAATATTTGAATCCTTCCCAAAATTTTAAAATGGATTTGAAATTGTTGACTAGATTGAGTGAAGAATTCTTTGAGATTGGTGGCAATGTAAAATCTCATAGGTTATCAATATGGTCCCTTGCATCACAAATAGAAGAGGAAGAAGTAGACTTGCCATGCTTCTCACTAACGAAGGAAGGAACGTAGACGTGAGATGAGGAGAAGGGAAGAGAATATAAGAGAAGAGAGAAGATGAGAGGAGAGAAGAATGATCAGGGAAGAGAGCCGAAGAACGATGAGAGAGGAGAAGAGACAAGAGGCAGAGGAGCTATCGGGATTTTCTCAACGTTAATTTAGGCTCATTATTGACTTAGTAAGGAATGAATAAGACATTTGATAATGACTAATCTTATTATTTGGGGGATTTGTTATTCTTTAGATATGAGAATGAAATTCTATTCTTACAAACCAAACAAAGAAATTAGTATTACTAAGGAATAACCATTCTATTTTCAAAGTATAATACTATGTACCAAACATAGCGTAAGTGTCTTTCTTTTAGAGCAGAGTTTGGGTCCTCGTTTGCTCATGTGGTGTTAAAGTGATGCTCTTTCAGATTCACATATTATTTTAATACAAGTAATAAGATCTAATTTTTGGGGTAACTTCAAGAGTCCCCACCCTGACCCCAACGAGACATGAGTTGAGGGCATGTCCTACCATGTTCACTTGAAAGAAAAGCTGATCTACCATTATTGGTGTCTAATCCACTAATATATAATGTGTTCGACTTGAATTAACATCGGACGATCTATTATTGAAAAAAATTGTGTGAAAGTATGATATATGGGACTTAAATCCATTACACAAACAAAATTTGTCCGAATGTGACATATTACTAGTATGGAAATTTTTTTTTTTTTTTTGGAGGTGATCCGGCGTTGGCATGGATTTCAAATTAATGTAATGGCACTGGAAATTTTTTAGAAAATAATTGTGTAAATTTGATGGCAAAACTCATCCAGTCAAGAATGAGATATAGTATAATTGAAGCTCATGGTCAAGGCTACCTACTCAAAACTTCCATGACCGCTAGATTCTGAGTTTAATGCAAGTGTGTTGCGACACTGTTACTGGGTATGTTATAGTTGAATCTGCACAATTAATCCCTCTGTCTCGTACTGTACCTCAATCATCGTGTTTTTCACACTGTCTTAGGACTTCTTACTTATCGGGCCATCTCTGCTTGGGTCTCTATGAACCGAACAAAAATGATGAACTCCGAACTCTCTCATCAGTTGAAATAATTGTGATTCCCTTCATATGTCGTATGAACCACCTTGATAAACTTGTGTTGGATCCACTTGCTCAACCTAATCGTGCCTAGCAAGCAGGGATTTGTTAAGAATTAAATGTGGTATGCCCAAGTCCTTTTTCACTTGAGGTCTTTTATTGCTATCATCAAAACTATAATGTTAGCATATCACATACCAATCCCCCAGTTTGGCTAGCTATCCTCCATCTTGTTCTTAGCGAAACTGGTAACAGTATGGGCTCAAGTTCTTCAATCTATTTGTTGCCCAGCTTATACCATCCAGAGACTCATGTCCGCAAACATCCAATGGATTCTAAATTCGGGACCCATTGCAATTGATCAAGGAGACGAAGAAAATTTTATTTCCCAGTGTAGTGAACAACATCAAAATACATACGGCCCTCTAATAAAATACGAAGCAACATGGCATAAATAAAGTTACCATCAAAACTACATTTGCTCACATGGTAACTCATTACTGTTCTACAATCCTCAATGGACCAAAAATTCAGGCAGGTGAAGCAGCCATTGCCTCTTTCCCTTCAGGTGAAGAAGGAATTGACTTCGTTGGAGCAGGCAAACGGCCTATGCTATCAACTTTATCTTTTTGCTTTGGTGGTCGCCTTGCTGCTCTTGGGAGTAATCTGCCCTTCTTCTCGAACCACTCAGGTTTGAGCAGTGCCCGAAAGCCTAATTTGTTGTAATACACCCTCCTCACAGACCCACCGGCAGCTTCAACTGCTGCCTTGACTCAAACCGTTACTCTCGAAACCTGAAACCTCTTAATCGTTTTGTGTTGATGAAAGAATATTATGTTGCTTCAAATATTTTTTTCCACAAGTATATTGCTTTAAATATACTGATGCTTATGAATGTACCTAGTACATGATGCTTTAAATATACTAATGCTTTAAATAAGCATGAGCAAAGTCATATGGCATTGAAGTGTGAAGTCGAAGTCAATACTATTTGAAGTCACAAATCATTGAAAATAACAACAAAATGGAACATTAGGAACCATATGAATACGGAACGTAAGGAAAACTAATTTCATAAAAGTTTTTATAGCCACACAAACACAAAGAATACACACACACACACACTGTTTCCACCTTGTCATTGCATAGACATTCTAATGAGGAATCAAAACTATATTAGTTGATAACCAACTACTTTGACCGTCACATTCTTGCATATTCCTTGCTTTGTTTATAGCTTAAATAAGGCACGTCTCTCTAATATGATATATGAACAATATATGCACAATTGTTTGATTCTTGTTGATTTCAATATTTAAAATGTCTTATATAATTTCCTTTGCTCAATCATAGTTTTTTTAGCAATATGCACGTTATTTTTACGAAATTCACATTTTTTTCATTGTCTCCTTACGGCCACTTTAGAGTAAGCGTTTCACTACTAATCTACGTTTGATTCCACCAATTAACCTTCTTTTATGAATTTTTTGCACAAGAAGAAAAAGAAAAAGAAGACCCCGATGCTTTAAAGACTAAAATTCAACATGAAGAAAAAATTAAACCATATGATATCTTAAAACGTCACAAAACTTTTCCTGTTTACTAAATGCATGTATAACAACCAATAACAAGAAGTTTAGAAGATTTTCAAACCCATGAAATGAACTTAATTCTCAAGTTTCTGCACACTTTACAACAAAATGAACTATAAGAATTACTTTCTGGAAAAAAAAAATGAACTATAAGAATCAATTCTCAATTCCAAGATACATTTTAATAGATTTCAAATTAAAAAGGAAAAAGGTGATAAGATACATTTTTTAGGATCAGAATTTGTTCAATTGTTAGCATAGTGTTACAATTGAACAAAGTTGTGATTTGTTAAACTTAAAACAAACAATATAAATTGGTTTCGCCAGGTATACCTGCCCAAGATGTCTCCTATGAATGAATAGATAGCTAGCCTTGCTCAAATGTCAATTTAGCAAACCCATTCAAGGCTCATATTCACCACAACAAAAAATAAATGGAAAATCTTAGTAACATAACACATCAAATGACAAATGGGACCCCAAAGAGCCATCACAAAATGAATGAACACTTAGCACACCATTGTATAGAATTCTTTCTATAAAAACATCAGGAGGTACACAACTCATTAACTGTAACAATCACGCCTTGATAATGGCCCTGTTCTCTAGCCAATGCTATTTAATTCTAGTTATATACCAAGCAACATGTGAAAAGATCAAAATAAAGTTTTTGGAGTCTCAAACTTCTTGAAAAATTTTAAATTTTCTGACTGAAAAATTGTAAACTTCTATTTGGTAGGCAAGAAATCAATTTTTTTTTTAAAAAAAATTCACATAATCGGGTGCCTTTTCACTTTTTTTTTTTGTTTGTGTTCAATATCACAAAATCCAAACATATTATTAAATAATAAAAAACATTCTGATTTTTTATTTCAATATTTGCAAATTTGAGCAGTATTACTCAAAATTGTTGAGACCCAAAACTGAAAGAGCCTCTCACAATTTCCAACTCAAGCTAAGACCCAAAATCCTCAATTTTTTTTCTTCTCTTTCATTTTCCAGTAGCCAAACATGATATACAAAGCATTAACTAACTAAAAACAAAAAGATTGCCTATGGAACTAGTATTAAGATTCTCCACACCATAGTTCCGACTATTATTCCAAGGTTCATTGATATCATGTATCAAACTCTACCCTTTCGATTTAGAAAGCTCCTATTGCGAATGCAATCGATACCGGTGCTTCAAGTTCAGGATCATCAATTATGTAAAACATGAATGACATGATTTTTGGAGAATTCTAATTGCAAACGACAAAGAGAATGGACACAGTTGAAGTACCAGAGGAAATCTTTATGGGTCTACTTAGATTTGTATTGAAACCATAATAGTAAGTGTTTCATTCAATACAGTAATTTAGATAGAAAAATGAGGGACCATCCTTTGTATATCAGTGATTCAGTTGGACTCAGAATATGTACAGTCCACAAGTTACAGTTAAGAGGGACAATATGAAGATTATAGTTAAATTAGTAGGCAGGGCGCAGATGTAGAATCACAAAATAAATCACAACCCATGTAGAAAATTACTATAACAGTGAATTCAAACTCTCGGTTAGAAATATTCTTAGTCATGAACAAAACATATTAAAGAAGATTTCAGTAGATACGTAGCAAAACATGATCTTTAACTATGTTATTTCAGTTCACATGATAAAAATCTATAACAATTGTCATTAAGCCATGAGTTTGTGTATTTTCCATACACTTGTGCTATTTCAATCATAACCATCATATTTACACAAAACGAAACTAATAAAACATTCAACAAATCTTGATTATATCGAACACAAACAGGAAAAAAAATATTGAAGAATGAAAGGAATGTGTTTAACAGACTCACCAATTTAGGATAAAGAGATAATAAGGTTGTAATTACTCATGATGAGGATTCTCAATAGGGTTCTGAATCTATTTCAAAAAATGGGTATTGTAGTGAAAAGCAACAGGCAGTGACTGTGGCATCAATTACAGAAGCGTGAGGTATTATAGTTCGTAGCTGACTACATACGTTCGATTAAAGGAGGAGAGAGAGAGGGGGGGAGGGCTATTGAAATGCTTATTCAATTGTGTGTGTATGTGAGAGAGAGAGTGAGAGAGAGAGAGAGAGAGAGGGAGAGAGATTGATGAGAGTATTAGTGGAGATGAAAGACTAATTAATGGTTACAATTACTATTTGAGGTTTACTAAATAACTTGTGTTTAGAGATTCAATGAAAAGGATGATTTTTTTTGGACCCACAAAGTGATTTGTGTGTTGCACATACATTTGGAATATAAGATTTGGGTTTTGATTTGGACAACATAACATTTCTCTTTTACAAAAACTTTTAGCATAAGAGATGATGTTGGGTTTTGCTAGTGTCGGATGAATTAGCTTTCTAAAGTTTATTGCTTACTGTGATAATCAACATAATGACTATTTAATGAGGTATTACAAAAAAGATGAAAAGACAACAAGTAGTTACTTGACTTCATAGAAATAATGAAGTGGAAAATTAAAACTTAGAAATTTTGGAAGTTAGCACATTTATATATAGTATAGATTTAGAACAAGATAACCAAAAGCTAGAAGATAAATTTATTGTGATATTAAGTCTAGAGGATAAGCATGACATATTTGTAGTGTTGGAGGGTAAAAGTAGAAAAAAAATGTTTTTCATGTATGTTGATATTTTAAAGTAGTGTAGATTGTGGTGGAAGGGAAGGTAGGTTAACTCCTTATTTTCTCTTTCTCTCTCTCTCTCTCCCCCAACCTTAACATGGTATCAGAGCAAAGTTATTAGGGTTTGTATTTGTCTTTCCTTTTTTTTTCCCCTCTTTTCTTGCTTCTTTCTCTCTTGCATCACTGTTCTTCATCACCAAAAAAAATAATCTTTATTTGATATTGAGTTAAGGTATTTGAGTGTGTTGATGACTTGGACTCATCTTGATGTCTTGTCGTGATTCGAGTTAGTGTTGATGGTTGGCGGTAGTTGTCTTTCTTGGTTTGGGTTGTGTTGATGATGACAAACTTGTTCCAGTGGATTTGATCTGGATTCATTGATCCTGTTGATTGGCATCCTTGTTGTGTTGTTCCTGTTCCGTTGCCCTAATCGACGTGTGGAGGGGAAGACCCTCGTTTAGCTACGGGTGTTAGGCTCCCCAAGATCAAGACAAATCCAATCCTCTTTTGAATGAGTTAGTGTCCCGACCTCCTCTACCATTATGTCCCACACAAGAACTACCAGATCCACCACGCATGCCACAACTTCCTCTACCACCATGTCCTCCACGAGAATCACTAGATCTATGCTAAGAGACAACTAAAACTAATTGATCAATAATTGGATCAACACTTGATTGAGATCTAGAATCGAATAGGGTAGCAAGTTGAAGATGAGAGAACACATCTGGAAGAGAAGGAAGCTGAGGGCTACCCAAAATATGTGCCTGAATAGGCTCAAATTTTGACCTCAACCCAGTCAAAACGGAAGATATGCATTCACTCCGTGTCAAGCTATGGAAGCAAAGATGCATGCATTCCATGACAATCATACTTGGGAACTTGTTTCGTTGTCTCTTAGCTTGTCCCAAAGAAAATATGTTCTTGACCTTTTGCATGAAACATGTTTTCTAGGTGGTTAACCAATTGATGTTCTAATGGATCCAAACCATAAACTCTTAGTGGATGAAGGTTAATGTTTCCTTAGATCCTAATCGCCGATTAGTTGAAAAGTTAAATTATCTCACTATTACTCGACCAAATATATCTTATGTAGTGAGTGTAATAACTCAATTGATATAAGTTCTTCGAGTACCATATTGGAATGTCATTATTCGTATTATCAGATATTTTAAGCGAGCTCCCAGATTTAGATTGTTGTATAAACCTTATGGGCATCTTAGATTGGAAGGGTTCACAAATGCTAATTAGGCAGGTTCTTCCTCAGAAGCAAACAATGGTGGCACGTTCTAGTGCAAAAGTTGGGTAAAGAGCAATGGCACATACTTGTAGTGAGTTAACATTGTCACAATACTTCCACAATGAAATTGGTTTTCCAGTCAAGACCCCTATAGAGTTGTTTTGTTATAATCAAGCTTCTGTTCATATTGCTTCTAATCATGTGTTTTATGAGTGAACAAAACACATTGAAGTTGATTGTCATTTTGTTCAAGAGAAAGTGTTGAGCAGA